ACTGTAAATTATTCAAACATTCCTGATCTTTTATTCTTTCTTGGTGACCCTAGGCATCACAATTTTATCCGGTTTATTCAAACTACAGGACTGTATCCATTTTTTAAAAAAATAATAAATCAAACAATAACTCATGAATCTAGTGTCTGGCGCAGTGTAGCCGTTTCTGGCTTTTGCATCCAAAAACTGCAACTAACCCCAAAAACTATTAAGATATAAATATTTTCAGTGGACCTTTCTATCAAGGGTCATTCAAAAATCTTTGAAGTAAGACTATTTTCTTAAATTTCAAACGTCAAAGGTTATTTCTGCCACTAATGAGACACAAAGACATATATTTCTCCGAATACATACTAAAGAATAATACTTAATAAATCAGCATACGTGTGGTGTACACTTGAGCAATTTTAAAATTGACCTTGAAGTAGCAAGAAACAGATATTTTGTTTAATTTTCAAGGTCAGTAACTGCTTATCCCAAACCTAGAAAAGTATAAAATTTTCTGGAAAAGAAGTCTTCACAATATATTGGAACAAAATGAATCTACAGATTTATTGTTATTGATTCAAATTTCATATAATACAGCCGTAAACTTTAATGCCCGTTCCTGAATAATTGAACTTTGAAATAGTAATATAAAAAGCTGTAAATTGTTTAAATAAAATATGATTTAGACCTATACGAATATCTGAAATTAACAGTCCTTCCTCTCCCCCATTAAGTGTTAGCTTCTATTATGAATTTACTGAAAGGGAGGGTGGAAATATAATCGCTTTTATAAGCAAATGATATGTTTCTGGTGTAATTTTTTTCGGAGAATCGAATGAAATCACAAGTCGATATATTCAGTAATTAAGAAGTTTGTTAAATTTTATATAGCTAAAAAGCAAATTCTGACTCCTACATATTTATAAGTCTTGCATTGCTATACAGGTCAGTGAGGTGTGGATTTCACTATTGTTTTTAATCAATTCCTAGAAATAATTGAGTTCGTGTTGTGACCGTTTATTATAAGGCATGGGATATGTATTTAGGATGATTGACAATGATAGCACTCATATTGATAACTTATAACATAACAATAACTTTATTCACAATACGTACATAGAACACATCAACAAAAGGACATACTGGAAATCGAAACTGAAACATACAATGTAAACACAGTTGCAGTTACATCACAACCGCGATACTAGCGCCAGTGGAATTACATGGAAGATCCTAACAGTTCGCAATAATTATAAAAGGTGTGCGTATAACAAATACCCTTATGTACTTTTTTGCACGTACTAACTTAAAGATTTCCTAACTTTTAAACTGTTCACTGAACTGAAGTGTTCATATCCTTTCCTTAATAATACAATGAAATGAATTCCTCACTTTCATAAATAGCAATGTATGAATGTTCACTTCACAACTGTTCACTGAACTGAAGTGTTCACATCCTTTCCTTAATAATACAATGAAATGAATTCCTCACTTTCATAAATAGCACATGACGTATAAATATGCAGTATGCTTTGATTCAATAAAAAGCTCAAGCGAATTCTTAACTATTTAACATGGTTGTGATTTCATTCGATTCAGCATTAAAAATTACTACCAACACATTGCATCACTTGCTAAGACATCAAATAGTATGTAAATCTTGTTTGTATTCTCCCCTCTGTAAATTCTAGATACAAACTATAACTCACCTCCGGGGAAGTTGTTAACATTAAATATGCATATTGGACTTTTAAGTCAATTAAAAGTTCTTTCTTAACTCTTTCGGCATTCTGCTACTCAGGAACTGACCTTAAAGCGTAGGACCATATTATATTAAAATTGAATCAGAAACCATAGATCTGTGAGATGATTATATTTCTGCTATACTCAAGACCAGGGGCGGATTAAGTGTACGCGGGGTCCTAGGCCATACAAATTTTTGGGGGCCCTTAACTTACATTTTTTTCTCGTATATTTCTTGCTGATTCAAATATAAAAGTAATATACATATTTTTTCATTTAAGAAAGCATATGTAAAATAAAAATAAGTAATAATAAATTAATTTTTACCTTATTTTATTAAATTAGAACTGAAAAATAATGAAAAATCATTGTTTTTCTTAATTTTTTAAAATTTATCTTCAAATAATCCACTTTAAGGGGGCCCCAGTCCATGGTCTAGTCTGGCCTAATGGATAATCCGGCCCTGCTCAAGAGTGCCTCAATACAGGCACTCTACTCAAAACTTCTTTTCTAGCAAGTTTCATACTTGTCTAGTGACGGCTAAAAAAATTGCCCAAAGTTTCAATTCCTTGCTACTTTAAAGTCAGTCTTAGGATTTCGTTCAATGTATGTACACCCCACATATATAATAACAGTGGTTGTTTTCAATTTTCATTGCCATTTCTAAAACAATTTTTCTATTAAAAGAAGAAAAAAGATTGCATTAAGTAATTTAAGACGTTCGTAAAAGATTGTATTAAGTAAGACGTTTGTATTTATGTCGCAATAGAGCTTTGAGACATCCCTGAGCAGGGCCGGATTAAGGACCTCAGAGGTCCTAAGCACTTACATTTTTGGATGCTCCTTAAATGTAATTAAGAAGATCAATGCAAATAAAAATAAAAAAATTTCTTAAATAAAACTAAAATAAGTTTACAAAAATATATAAATTTATATAACTGAAAAATTTAACACTTCTTGCAGAGAATCTGGTAGAAATCAAAAATTTTCAATTAGCTCTTTGAAAGTTTTTCAGGACTAATCACGTATTCTTCGATTTTAGGAGCAATACTAAAATAATTTTGACATTCTTGGTGTTTCATTAAAAACAAATTTCCTGGTCCCCAAGCTATTTTCGAATATGCTTTTTAAATTTTTGCAAAAATTATTTTCACTGTGGGTGTCAAGTTAATATTCACGTAAGAAAAATTATTGAACTTTAAACAATTTTTATGGAGAATACAAAAACATACAAAAGCTTAGTTCAGTATATAAACGAAATTAATAAACAATAAAAATGACAAGCAATTCTTTTTTTTTTATCTCTTAGAATGTTGAGAAACCTGTGAAAGTTCTCCATGAATTTATAAAATATTTCTTATTATCTACGGCTTTTATTATTCTTGTTATTAACGGAATTATTTCGCTTTTTTTTTAAAACGGTTTATTTGCCCTCCTTTGAAAAACGTAGTATTTGAAATTTTGTTTTACATTATTATTTCACTTATAACAATCAATCAAAAATATTCTATACATTTCATATGGTTAATGTAAAACAAATTAAAGTTCTGAATTAATAATAAATTTAATTTATAATTAAACCGTTATATGTTACTTCCCTTTGATTTCACGTTTGTGAAAATTAACAACAGAAAGTGAGTTTCGTATATAGTGTGATTATTTAATAACACACGATATGTTTTTATATTGAATTGTATTGAAACCTAATTTTACTGTAAACTCACAAATAGTCTAAGAAGCAGCTTAACGAGAGGAAAAAAATCTATCAGTATTATTTACTTTTATTGTCTGTCTGGTCACAGCGCAAATATTTTAAATGATTGTAATAAGTGACAGGCCATATACAAACGACAGGAAATTTAGATTTACTTAATTAGAAAAGTTGCCTTTTTTCACTCTTATACAAGATTTTAAATCAGTTAAATTTAAAGAACAACTGTAATCAACCAATTGCACTGATACAGACCAAATAACTTAATCAATAAACTCGTATTTTTTATAGTCTTCAGTATCTTTGATATGCATAAATAATCTAATATATATTCTCTAACCCATCGACGATAACGCTAACCGCTTGTATTCCGGCGCTCCATCGTGTTTCAGTTTTACGTTTGACAGTTTTTGTCAAAGCATTTTTTAATAATTCCCAACGTAACGTTGAACGTGAGAAAAAGAGATATATGTTTTCAATTATTCCAAAACATGTCACAACGATTGGATCTTGTTTAGCAGCAGTAACTCCTACTAAATTCAATGAATGGTTATCAAAATTTACAAATAATGCTTTATGATTTTTTTCCATTATTCCTCAAAAAAGATTCTTTGATGGAAATTTTTTTATTGATAAAATCAACATACCTAACTACGTGGGACATTTGTTCTCGATGAGAGATATCAGGAGTATAAAACAAGCGAGAGAAATAACAAGCGTAAGTTACATTGCGTTTATAGAAATAAAAATAAATAGTGTTCTGTAAGAAAGAATGTTTGTACTTCTTACACTGCAAATATTTATTATAACGTATTATTTTATCAGACAAATCGAGAAAGGAGATAATTTATGTAACCACGCAGCGTTGATCCTTATAAGGAAGTGCTGACAGACAAAGGTCGAATCAGCCCTGCCAATAGAAAAGACGTGCCATTTTTATTATGAATATATTATTACAGTTTGATTTAGACTATAGAACACTAATATAATAGTGTTCCTTTTTATTGACGAATTAACATTTATTATATTACACTGGCACTAAATTTAAAATATATTTTCCAGAAATCAATTATAATAAAAATAAAAATTATCCAGCAATTTTTTGTTTTGCGGACCATTTGGCCCCCCTTTATGAGCAGCGCACGGGGCATGATCCCCCCCCTCCTCACTACGCCACTGCAAAGAATTTTTAAGTGAATTAGAGGGACGATATCCCGCAGTGAATAAAACAGCAATACGCTTATTTTGCATTTCAGAACTTTTATAAGAATTCGTCATCTAAATTAAAGTCGCCCATCTACTTCAGAAAAAAAAAAAAGAAGAAGAAGAAAAAAGGCGACAGCATTTACGACAGCTACTAATTTAATATTTTGACCAAGAAATTTTCTTAAAACTAGGTTTTTGAAAAGAAATAATATGATAATTGCATAAAAATTGAAAGCTAATATCAGGAAAAAGTCGAACTTATTTTTACAGAGAGAATTACAAAGTTTCCATAATTTGTTTGCTTGCGATCTCCGAAATCTGTGTGCAACGTGACATCATGAGAAGGGAAATCATTGCTTCAGCTCTAAGAGCGGAATGAACTAGCCTTGGGGGATACTAGCCTCTATATTCTTTGTCTACGAAGTACTTCGTTTGGTTTGAATAAAGTATCACACCCAGCATTAATAAAATTGCGCCAAACAAAAATGCTAAAAATGTCATTCTAGTAAACCGGCCATAATGATATTATAGTATCAACAAATCAAATGCCTCTATTTATTAAAAAGTCGGGCAGCTAAGCAACAGCGATTAAATATATTAATATTTATTTTTACAAGCATTTAGATATACAAAACTAGGTGACTGGAAACGTTTATTCCTCTTAAATATAAATTGTGGCGGAAAATGAAAACAGAACTACATGTGTTTTATTGATACTGTTATATTTACAATTGATAAAATAATGAAGTTCCGGGGGAAAATGGTTGAAATTTCAAGCATACAACATTTTACAAGTTTGTATTTGTTGCTACAACTCTTTTTCTTCTACATCAAGACAATTTATTTCAAGATAATTTATTAAAAACAAATCTTTAGTTTTAGCTTTAATCTGGTTGGAGTTTATTTTTCTTGGCGAGGATGTTTTTTTTCCTTCCAAATGCAGGGTTTTATATGTTAAAGTTAAACCTCGATATCTCGAATTTGAAGGGAAAGGAGAAAAAAAAAATTCGAATTAGAAAAAATTACTTATTATCAAGAGTAGAATGAAGGGGTAAAAAAAAGCTTTTTTACACACCCATTAAAAAGATTATCCAATTTTTGTTATTACTAAATACTATTCGAAAACATTAGTACCTAAAAAAAAGTATTCCGTCTTAGTTTAATTAAGCTATTATAATCAGACACTGGGTTCAAATAACAAATATGACATTTTTTTCTCTCACACGTTCTACATATTTTTTGAAATTGCCCATAGTAGATACTTTTTTTTGTTTGCCATATTCTTTGGTAAATCATACATTTCTTTCTCATCTTCCTCTTCTGATTAATCAAAAAGAGCTTTATTTTGCGCAATGTTATCCTGCACAAAATTCTCTGAAACTAATATTTTCTTCGTCGATAATCTATTGAAACTTCGCCTAAAATTGTAGAGCTTCTTCTTCTTCTTTTTTTTTTAGCTTTGTTTTCAAAATATTTTTAGAAAGTGAAGTTTATACTTAGTTAAAATTATTTGATAACATTTTATGGTTTTGAATTGAAATCCTCAAAAGAACTCTTCAGTAAATTTTATCATTCTTTGTTCACTGCATAATAAGAGCTTCATACTTTTTTCTAGGAATATTAAATACCATAAGTAAATTGACAAAAATAGGAGTTTTGAAAATAGTACCCACTCATCTCTATCTTACATTTAATGAAAGAATCACATCGGGCGGTTCCAGTCTATGGTGTGAAATACCTCAGGTAATACTCATTTTTATTTATCAAATGTTAACTTCTGTTCAAATAATCCAGCAACATGAGTAAACGTAGTTGACTTTTTTTTAGATCTAATTATACATAAAAAATAACATTACTAGTTTAGCCAAAACATAAAATGTTTGCTTCTCTATTCCCTTAGGTATTTTGTTGTGAATAAGTTGTTACTAATAGTCCACATATGTGGCAATGGTCGTGAAGAGGTCAATCAATTATGTATTTCACTATAAAATTTTTGTACTTGAGGATTATCCCGTCAACCATTTTCGTATTCTAGGATTATCCCATAGATTATTTTCACCAAACCCAATATTATCGCCAAAAGGTAACTTCTGCCCTTAAAACTGCAAATTTTATCACTTTGTTTTATCAAATTTTATCATTTTTTTGAACTTTGTTTTGATTCTTTTTATTGCACTTACTATGCATATTTACTCTTACATTTTTTGTTATTATTTTATTATTATTATTTAATAAATGTAATGTGTTTGGATTTTGCACATTTTCAGGAGTGTCGAGAGGTCGATGGGATAATTCCAAAGTGCAAAAGTTTTTTTTAATTAAATTTCTATTTTCATACTGTATTGAATCTTGCTAATCCTAATTATGTTATTTATTGTATTTAATAACACTTGTTGTTTCAAGTAAATTCAACAATCTGATATCTGTTACTAAATTAAAATTGGTACTTTTCTACTGCAAGTAAATTAATTTCATTTAACAGAAAACAAATTAATGTCCACTTCCCCCCAAAAAAACAATTAAAAAAATTATAATTGTTAGATTTACTTTCGTCTAACTAATAAAAAGAACCTAAAAAATTTACCTATTTAAAACATAAGTTAGTTTAAATGCTCCTTTTTTGTCTTTTTTTAACTTAATTTATTTTTTAAGGACATTGAAATTCCTTTTGTTTCACAGCAAAAGCTTCAGTTATTATTTGGAATTTAGTTGTTAACCTATTGTAAAAAAGTGTTCTAAGCTTTCTTTGGATAATTAATCATTGACTTTGTATTATAATTGACCTCTTTATCTATATTTATGTATCGATTTTTGTCTTTAGAGATCTATTAAAAGATTAGAATAAGTTTTATCCATACCAATATGTTGATAGTTTCTTTCTTTTTTTTATTAGGACCACTATTTTTGTGAATTTAATATGGAGGGCTTGTCTGAAGAACACAATGAAATATATTTGGAGTTTCAAATTGATAATTTAGTAACTGCTTTTCGATCTGCCCAGGCAGCTAAATCGGTGAAACTTAAATTAACTAAAAAGCATGTACCTTGCCTTACCTTGGAGGTTGAATTAGTAAGTTTATGAAAGCTAATTTTATTCTTATATATAGTAGATTCCAAATTATCTGATTTTATTAATAAACACAATTGGTTATCCCTTTGACCTGCTAAAATATCTGATTGTCTGAGAATAATGCATTAATCCTTTATTAACATTTATTTTGCTTCAATGAACTGACTTCAAAAAAAGAGTTTTCTGCATTAAAAGAGTTTTTGAAAGGTCAAGAACAGTTAAAGACAAACAAACTTTGATGAGAAGAATTAACTATGAATATACATAAAGCTGAATATTTGTAGTTTGAAAAAAGCATCAGCAGACAACATTTTTTACTTAAAATTTTCAATGTTTTTATGAAAGAAAATCGACTTAATTTTGTTCCTCGTATTTCATTATTTTTTTAATATTTAAACATATTAATTTGCTTTTGAATTATGAGACTTTTTTTTAATTAAAATTATCTGATTATCTGCCCAGCTAATCCTACACATCAAATTAAAAAAAAGAGAGAGAGAGAGAAAAAAGGATGTCTTTATTTATGAACTAAAGAGTTCAAATAATCATTTACTCACATTTATTTAGATATGTTTTATCATACCAGTTTTTAGTTAAGTAATGGTCATTCAAGATATAAGAGAATATTGTTGTATGTGTTTTATTGTTGTATGTGTGTATTGTTCATTGTGTTTTATATAAAAATTTACAAAATCGTATATTCATATTAAATTGAAAACTTAAATCTTTTGTATTACAATAATAGCCATTTAATTTTAGTAATTTTTGCTTGTACACTTGTAAAATGTACCTTATAAAATCCTATTGATTTCGTTTTTCTTACTTACCTTAATATCAGATACATGAACCTATCAGATTATTAGGAGTCTACTTTCTGTTTATCTTTTAATTGCTTGAAATATTGTATATTGTTTATTAAGAAATTATAAATGTTTTTCCATTGAATAAAAAATAATTAATATTCTGTTTTTTAGCCATCTTTGCACTCCCATTCTCGTATTGTTGTTCATGATGTTCCTGTTCTAGTGATTCCTCGACGTTTGTGGGAGCAGTTTCAAGAGCCTACAATGATACAATTTGATGTTAGTTAGTTTTTTTTTTGTCTTTGAATAAAATATTATGGAAAAATGAGTAACAGATTTTTATTTTTTAGTAAATTTGTAGATGATTTCTAAAAATTAAAATTGAATTAAATGTCATATTGGTATATGCTAAGATTAAATTGTGTCAGCTCTAAATGTTGTTCACTAAATTACAAATCTTTAATTTAATTTAACCTATTATTATTTTTTTGTCAAAATTTAATTCTAAGAAGTATTAACTTTCATCGAAAAAGTTTTGCTTGTTTTTTGATATTGTTATTGTGTAAAAGATCTTTTATTGTGTAAAAAGATCTTAATTTGTTTTGGTTGCTTATTATTATTTCAGGTTTCTATATACATGCCTTCATTAAAAATTGTTCGAAGTGTTGTTGAAAGAATGAAAAATATTGGAAACCATATGGTAAATGTTTTCTTTTAAATTAAATTAATTATGTTCTTAGTGTGTATCGAGTTATTTCTCTTTTTTATTTGCTACTGTGTACATTTGTTCAATTGATTAATATATGATTAAATCAATAATTTTTGCCTTTAGTAAGTATATTTATCCTTCCCAAACTGAATATTTTTTCGAATGAATAGTGTAATGAATAGTGTATCCTTGTGAAAAAAAACTTTAAAATTAATCTTGATTCATTATTAGTCTTGATGCAAAATAAAAATATATTTCGTAGTGTAATCTGTATTTAAGCAGTATAAAATCAATATTAAATTTTCTCATTTCAAAACTTGTAAATTCTGTCATGCAATACTAATATATTAATCTGCAAAAATCTTTAGTGCTGAAATGGTATTGCTATTTCATCATATTCCCGTTTTGCTACATATTATTCTAGCTTTGTTTCAAAGTTAATACTATTTACAGAAATTTTACTATGTATGCTCCAAAATTACAGTAGGTTTCCTACAAAAACAACATTTTGTTACAAAAGGGAGAAATTGGTAATGCACCTGATAAAACGATGCTCAATCATACTATTGTGGTTGTTACAAAGCCAGAAATTCGGCTGCTAGATAACAACAATAAAGAAGAAAACAAAAATGCATGTTTTTTTTTAAAAATTATATCAATATTAATGTTAAAAAAATAGAGAAAAAAAGTGTTTTATTTTTAACTTTATTATAGCCATTATTTCTTGTAATTAGTTTGTTTTAATTCAATGTTTTTATACTTAAAAAACATCATTTCAATTTTTAACGTACCCTTCATCCACAGGGTATCAAATACTGAGGTTCAACTGTGTTAATTAAGATTATTGTTTTTTATTTCTAATGCTCACCACATTCGGCAACCGTATGCCATCGTGGTTCTCAAAAACTGTATTGTTGACCTGTTTTTCATGGGCGCTTCATCAACGTAAAAATAAAAGAATTTTTTTTTATTTTACACGAATGATCAATGGAAGTAGAAAAGAGTTGAAAGTATTTATCATTTTTTCTTTTAATTAATATATTGATCCGCGAATACAAAACATTTTTGAACTTAAATTTGCTTAGAACTATTTATTTTAATACTTATAGACATAATTTAATGCATCTCACTAACTGTTTACAAATAACTAGGTAGTTTTAATGCTGAGGAAAGACTACATTCAAAAATTATTACTTAGTTTTATGCTATCCTTAATGTGAAAATTTATGTGAGTAAATGTGCTAAAATTCTTTTCTTTAACAACTTCAGACAATGTTTGCTAGTTCAGATGGTGAAATAAATTTGTGCTGTGAAACTGATACTGTTACCATCACGACTCATTTCAAGGATTTGAATTTGACCTCTGGTATGTTAAAATATTAATGAATGTCTTTTAGAGCTAGTAAATAGTTTCATAATTGTTTAGAGGAGTGCTAAAAATGTAAATACATTTCTTATCACTTTGATTGACTAATTTATTAATATATATAGTAAATGAACTGATTTTTTAAATCAGTTGTTGTAAAAAGGAAAAATTTGGGTAACCTTTTGAGATGTCAAAAGAAATCAAGAAGTCTTCTGTGAAATCAAATTTTAAGTTTAAATTTCATATGCATTATTGTTTGAGAACTCTGGACATCTTAAGGGATTTGCCTTGTAGACTCCAAGAGTCAAACTTACACAAAAAATTCACTTTGAAAAAAATATGATTTATGCATTCACCTCTTCAAACTCTAATTTTTCACAGTAATTAATCATTTGGAAAACATAATACTGCTGTAAATACTAAGAAAAGTGTTTTTCCAAAAGTACGAATGTAAAAATGTGAGCTTAATTTAAAAACAACTTTGTACAAGCGTAAATTTCTGAATAAGAAAAAAATTAAACAAGTATGAAGAACTGTTCTCGACTGTCTTTTTCTTAGTCTTATGTTGATTAGATCTACATCTTTTCCTCTCCAACTTAGAAAGCAAATTGTGAGCTTTCACTGCCCTTTGAAGCTTTAAGCTTTTTTTATTTTTTTAAACGAAATATTAAAGTTTTGTCCCCTCACATGGAGAAATAAAAGAATTTTTCCCATTTACTTTACCATACACACAGCTTCGAGGAAGTTATTTTAAATTTTTGCATCTAACCTTAAATGTTCAAGTCTAAAATTAAATTGTTTTATTTTATTTATTTATTTATTATTATTTTTTTGAGAAAGAGAAGAATTGAAAGTACCGTAATTTCGCGGAGAAACGCCGCCCTGGTATACACGCCGCGCCCTCAAAAATTGGCCCCCCAAAAAAAATTTCGTCGCACACGCCGCACCATCGTACACGCCGCGCCGGATTATACTATACCAAAGCAGGTATTGATTACAGACTTAAAACATGTTCTATATACGCATATATATATAACTTAAATAGTTAAATAAGAAACCAATAAAAGGATATTAAATACACAAAAAAAATTAAGCAATCCTACTAAAATGGATTTCAATAACTTTCTAAGTAAATATTAAGCATTTTCTNTTTATTTATTTATTATTATTTTTTTGAGAAAGAGAGAGAGAAGAATTGAAAGTAATTATCTGGTTTCTAGAAATTTTCAGAACTTAGAATTTTTTAAATTTATAGATTACAATCCTATTATTTTGCAGTGATGTAGTTCTAGCTTAAAATTTATTTAGTTTTTTTTTCTGACTAGACTTAACAAAAATTTTGTATCTTAAAATGGTGACAATGATTTTATTAAAAAATGTTTCGAACATGCATTGATATTGTAATAATCTCTTTAGTATCTCTCGATGTTGATATAGCTATATAAAAATGGCTGATTTTGTAATACAGTGATTTTATTAGTGGTATTCATTATATTAATGACAAAAATGTCTCAGTTTCAGCTCACTTGTCGGAAAAAAGGAAAGCGGAATGCAGAATTGATATTCGCAAGTTCCATCAATTTGTTTTAGGACAACAAATAAATCCAGCAAAAGTTATTTGTAGTAAGTTTCTTTTCCTTTTTTTTTTCAAAATATATTATTTAAAAAAAATTCAAATAACTGAATACTAACAACAAAAATTTTTTAATGCTAGCCATAGCTAGAAAAATATCTCAACTGATTACATTCAATATTTGCCATGTATTCATCTCTTCCCCGATTTCTTATAATTCAAAGCACATCTATCCATAAAACCATTTAAGGTATATCTTAACTTGAATATTTAAATAATGTTTGTTCTTATTTTTTTTATATTTTGTTTAATTAAAATGTTTTATAAATTTTTTAGATATAACAAATAATCAGATGGTTCAATTCTTTCTACTACATGATGATGTGTCCATTCAATACTTTCTACCTTGTGTTATTACGTAAATTGAATCTACTTTTGGTATACTATAATGCGAACAACTACATTTCATCATAATTTGATAAGTTTCATCCTTTTTCATATTTTTAACTTATTATTAACAAAATTATTTTTTAACACAATTTATCAAGTAACTCTATTATTTTATGCATTCCATATAATGTTGTATATATGAGGTGCAAATTATTATTCTGTGTTGTTATGAGGTTCTTTGTAGTAAATTTTATTTTTTAGTACTTTAAAGAATGCGTTTGATAAATGAGCATTATAAAATTTTAAAAATAATGTAAGAAATACATGCAAAAAAAGTAACTTGTTATATTCAGTGCATCAATCTTTTCCCTTTTAAAGTAAGCAGTAACTTGAACAGTTGTGATTCTTTATAACAGTTAAAATACAGCATTTATCAAGAAGGAAAGCAAAAAAAGGTTTTTGCTTCAGACAATTTATAGTACCTCGTAAAGAAATTTTCTGTGATATGAAATTTTTGTCAAAACTTTTAACTAGGGGTCTGTCCATTTGCATCCTGTCTCTTTATTACATTTGTTATTTTTATTCTAGAAGTTTCTATTATTAAATCTTTATTTTTTTCTTTCTTCTCTTAATTGATGTACTCTCCAATGACTATTAAGATTCAGCCCAAAATATCACTTCTTAATCACACCAAAGTACACGTTTTTTCAACTATTTTGGTAATAATATAAAATTTGTTTAAAAAGATTTAAATTGAAGTTTTAATATTCGTTTAAATAAGGTTGTGTTTTAAATATTTATTTAAAACAATTGTCATTATTGTAATAATTTTTTTGTCATATATTTATTTTTTGAAGTATAACTTTGTGCTAGTTTCATGGGGAAAACTACGTAAAAATGCAGTTTAATTTGCTGTACAAACAGAGATAAGTTTTAAATCTTTCCATAACTAGTAAATATTTAGTTATTGATTTTTTCATTAACAAAAGAGTTATGTAATTCATAAAGTATTTATTCATTTCTTTCTGCATTATATCATTTATTAATATTTTAATTTTTCATTATAATAAACTCATAATTGTAAGTTTTCTATTTCATTTTCACCTTAAAATTTATTTTTAGATGTATGTATTTGCATTGCTACCAAATCAACACTCTTCCCAACCTTAGGTGTTCAATTTACTCTATTTTATTTTCATTACATTTGATGTTATTGCATCAGTCGCAGTAATTAGTTTAGATTAATTTTGGGATGCAAAATGTTTAGTTGCAATAAATTTAAGGTAAAAATGTGTTTTTTTCCCCATTTAATTTTTCATTATTAGAATATAATAATTATGTAACTCCTTTCCAACATTCTGTGATATCAAAGGCATTTTTGTAAACAAAACTGTTTATAAAGAATTCTGTTATGTAAATATCTTGAATGAGAATAAAAGTAATTTAATATAATTTTCTCTTTTCTTATCTGGAAATAGATTTGTTTCAATTTAAAATCTAAATAATGCTTAGATTTCATATGAAATAAATATTTCATTTTAAGATTTTTTTTTATATTAAAAATAATTTTTGCTATTCTTTTATTAAAGAAAAATAAAAAAGTGAACACGTAAAATTTTTTTAAAGCTTTGATGCATCAATTAAACCTAGGTTAGCACAAAACTAAAAAAAATTTGGAAATATTTAATTGTTTCGAACAAAATTTGTGTTAGAACAGTTCTATAACAAATTTTTCACATTTTTTAGGAAAAATTACTATAAAAGGAGATATTAATTCCTATATTAGTTGCCATCGTTTCTTAATTATGTATAATTTAATGTATTTTAAAATTATAATTTCAGGTAGAGTAAAATTATTGCTCCAACTCATTATTCACAAAAATATTGAAATTTCTGTTCAAAGACACTTAACCTCACCTGTTTCAAAAATAATATTCTTCACCTTCTTCTGTTTGAAACGCTTTTTTGTAGCTCACCTTTTGCTATTAAACCCAACATTGTTTGTTCTATCACCTTTTACAGTTATAACCATACTTTTATTACACTTTTTGTAAAGTTGACTGCAAATCTGTTAAATTTAGTATTCTTAAGCCAGAAAAATTGAGTGACATGTACCTCTATTAATCTATTTCATTTATATACAAAAGAAAACTTCTATTATTTACAATATCAGATACTTGTAAATAGAATTAGATTAGATTAAATGTTTTCTTTAATTTATAACAGCGCAGTGAAACAGTTAAAGTTTTTTAAAAAAGAAAAAAATTCCAGTAAATTCTTGTGTGAGAGAATAATCTCCCCCCCCCCTCCCAAGTTTCTGCATTCAGTTCAAAACTTTTCTGACATATTACTATACATCCATTTAATCTTTTTTTCCATTATGTTTTATTTTATTAATATGATAATGTGATTTTTATTTTTTGAAAATTGTAGTGTTGTTACAATTATTTTTCAATTAACTAATTTAATATACGCAGCACTATTTGTTTGAATTTTAAACTAAAAACAGTAACTCTGCAAGTAAAAATTTAGGTCCATCACATTAATTTTCTAAAAGAATTTTTTTATCCTGCTTTAAATTTTTGAAAACTATCAGTCTAAATTATGAATTATGTTTATTTCTATATATAACACAGGAAATTTAAAACAAACTACAAAATAATCAAAATATTTGTTCTTTATTTGTTTGCATTTAAAAATATCTTAACAGTTTTAAACAAAAAATTTACAATCAAAACCAAATCAAAATTATGAAGATTTTACAAAAATGCTGTGGAGACAAACTGGATCACAATAGTTTGAGATCACCATTCAAAAATTATTTAAGTGCTGAATAGTAAAAATTCAATTTTTTTAAAACTTTTTCGTTTATCGTATCTGTAAAAGAATATTGAAAAAAAAAATTCTTCACATAACAATTATTGCACAGAAAAGCCATTATTTCACTATAATTAAACTCAATATGAAAAGAAATATTTAATCCTTAAATAATTAATATGCATAAGGTCTACTACAAATCAAAACTTCCTCTGCAGTAGAATTAAATCTTACATCAGCCTTTGGCTAATTCACATCCTTTTTCTAAACAAAAAATTGTTACTTTATCCAATTTACTATTCAAATTTTTATTGCACTCGTTTTGTATTAAAACTAATCAGTTTTTATTTATATCTGATTTAAGTGAAACAAAACAAAATGCAAAAACAGTTGATTCAAAAGATGGTAGCATATGCTAAGTGTAGATTACGCTGAATAACTTTAAATCCTACTATTGGATTTTTACGTACAAATATGCAATCTTAATCATTCGAATAATTAACCATATTGAGTATGAAAGGTGATTTATTAAAATATTTTTAAAAAAATACCTTTCCTAAACAAACTTATTTTGTTTTATGTTCAACCTATGGGCAGTTTGTAAAATACAACCCAATTAAGTAAGTCAGTAGATTGGGCAGGAAATTGATAACATAAATTTTACTTTTTACGTATTTTGCCATATTTCAAAAATTAGTTGAGTCACATAAAATTTTTCCTACTATAATGAAACTTGTTTGTTCAAATGCATTTCTAAGTGAAAAATTCTTTAATGCAAAGAAAATTGAGGGTTTTTTTTTTCTTTGATGTGCTTTAGAATAAAATAGGCTTTCTCAAATATTAATTTTTTTGCTAAGCTTTTTTCATATTTACAGACACATAATTCAATTTTCAACAGCATGTATATTAAGTATGTAGTTTCCTTTGCTCATCCAAGTTTATTTATTAAATCCTACAAATTAATTTTATTTTCAAAGTATGAGAAAATTAATGGCAAATGAGTTAATAAATGTTTGAAGTATAAAACTTCCATAAGTTAAACCTTCTGCTTTTCCATAGGAAAAAAGAAAAAAACATGAGAAATCAAATACATTTCATATCACTCATTCTTTTATGTTTTGTGTATAAGGCTAAACACTAGACATTGGGTAACAGCAATATTTATATCATGATAAAGCATGGAAATATACAGTGATTATAAATGCATTTTTAAAGAAATACTATAATTTATCACAAACTCAGAAGTGTAAGGCATTTTCAGGACTTCAAAGGATGATAATAGCAACTAGTAACAAAATCTTGGAGTGTTACCTTCGAGCAAGTTGTACCACAGTTGTCTTACTGTACCAATACTCACATGTAATTTTATTTTTAAAAAAACTAACCCAATTGGGTTACTCTAAATTTCTACATATTATACAATCATTAAAACCTTTTTGTCTTTTAATATTTACTAGCTTCTTTATTCCAAGCATGTTACAAGAGTAAAATCCCCTATATTTTAGAAATATAAAATTTTGTTTTATTCTTCATAATAATTACTACCTTATAGAGCTTGAACATTTGTCTACTTTTTCCACATATTCGCCACTATGAATCATGCATTTTGTTGACATTGTGACAGATTTTATAAAACCCATGTCCTAATAGCTTCTCGTGATGAACAAGTGTTGAAACTTATCTTACTTCTCATCAAAGAGGAGACCAGCCAAATATTGTTTCTAAACAGAAAATGGGTGGCAGTCTCCAAGTGCAAAGTCTTGACTACAGAGTGGAGTTGTGGTGATTTTCTATAGAATAGAAGTTGTTGACAAAAAAGCACAAGTCAGGCGTGGGCAATAGTTTTGGTGGTAAATGTTTGCACCTTAACTAATTTTTTGGCTTTAAAATAATTCTAACTTGTGTCACGTTTTTTTTAGTATGTATTCGTTAAAACTATTTGCTCCAATAACAATATAAACGCTTTTCTCAAGGACATGACAGGGAGCTGGTGTGTTAGGAGCACACAAATCTGCAAAAGCGCATTGACCAAGGCAGCAGTTATGTAGAAAAAAGAGAAAACTTCTAAATTGATGTAAATATTTTAGAAAATAAAATAAGCCGGATTCGTTTATATATTGTTGTGACATGTGATTCATTCATTCCTTGACACATACTCCACTCCCTTGGTTTTCTCTCCTTTGTCTCTCTGTGTTGTCTAATTAAAGTTGACTACTTAAAGTACTTCATTATATCTCATAAACCTCCAGCTGATTAAAAATTATGTTTCCTTGAAAAACTTTAGATCTAATCTATTTTTTACCTACTATATAATAGTGAACAAAGTAGCTGTTAATCAAGCTATTTTAAGAAAAAATATTTGCTATTCTTTGTAGTTTTTTTTTTAATTAAAAATAATTTATAATTTATTGCAAAAAAAAATTCTAGTAGACTCAGGAATGTTTTATAAATAAAATAACATTAAAATATAAGAGAAAGAAAATTATTAAGCGATATATTACAATTTAATGTACAGTGTGCAAAAAAAGGACCATCCTGAATAACTTTTGATCTAATGATTGAATCTTCACGTTCTAGGATGATCTCAAATCTGGTAATTTATAAGTGCAGATGATATTTTAAGTTACGAAATCTAACACAAAAACGTACTTTCTCTGAATAAACATACATTTCTATCAACGGATTCGAGTTTAAATATCTATTAAAAAAAATTTATTAAATTTTTCACAAACTCTTCAACCGATTTTGCCATATAAAATTGTATTCTTTATATTATATATCGCATATAGAATGTAAAATATATTCTATATTCTTTAAAGCCATAAAAAATTGTATACCTTACAGTTCAAAAGTTTTTCCGACCATTTCTAAATAAAGTAATAAAAAAATAGTAAATATTTACTACATAAATATTATTTTTTGCATGGACTTACCTGTGAATAAACAAATTTTATAATTGTGAGCAAAAATTTTTCAATTCGGTAAAAAAGTTCTCGAGATACAGCGGAATACACAAAAAGTAAAATTAAGGTGTCAAAACTTTGGACCTTTCTCCTGACCAAATTACAGAAACAATGATTTTGCTAGATTGCAGTTACCCCCTATGTTTTGGGGGTCAGAAATCCGAACCTGTCAAAAGCAAGGTACGTTTTTTCAGAAAAATACATTTTTGTGTCTGATTTCGTAACTTAAAATATCGCCTGCTGTGGCCCTAGCTAGATCTCAGAGGTATAAATAAAGAAAAGCTTAGTGCCACACAGACAAACATAAATTTGAATAATTACGAGGGGAAAAAGAAGGTCCATTCTGTCCGAAGTCTGAGCATCTACTATCTCTTCAGATGGCGCTATAATAGTGGGGGAAAGAGGAAAGTTTATCATTCTTTCCCCCTGGTTCCGATTAAACGTCTCGTAGATTGAACAGCAGTTTTTGGTCCTTTGCTTCTTCTGAGGGTCGTCAAGGTTTTTGGGTTAGGATCAAGAGTCTTTGGTCTGCTTTGCTTATGTAAAGGTGCCACCGGCACTGCATTTTATCAGAACACTTTTTCAATGCAGACATATGATACTGTCCTAACGGTTTATGTGGCTTATCAATGTGGGCAACTTCATACGATGTACGGTCCATCTCTCTTTGGCATGAACTTGGCCCTAGCTAGATATCGGGTCTATAAATAAAGAAAAGCTTAGTGCCAAATATTTTTATTAATAACAAACAGCACACGGGCAAACATAAATTTGAATAATTATGAGAAGGGAAAAAAAAGATCCATTCTGTCCAAAGTCTGAGCATCTACTGCCTGTTCAGGTGGTGTTATAATAGTGGGGGAAAGAGGAAAGTTTGTCATACTGCACTTATTAATTAGCATATTTGAGATCAGCCCCATCAGCCATTAAGATTGAGTCCTAGAGCGTGAAGATCTGATCTTTATATCAAAAGTTATTCAGGGTAATCTGTTTTTTGCACACTGTACATAAAATTCTAAAGAAAGTAGCAATTACTCAATCAGAATAAAACAGTTTCATTTAAGTTATTTCAGTAATAATAGGTTTTTGGTCACAGATTTTGTGTTTCTAAGAAAGGTTAATTAAAGAAGGTTAGAATAATTTTACTCTTAGACAAGTTTAAAGTTTTCAAATATTTGTTTTAAATAGGCAAAAATGAAAGAACTTTTCAATGTGATCTTTTGCAAGGTCATTTGGAACATATTTTTCAAGCATTTTATTAAAGCGTGTGGAGTGTCAATAAAATAATGGGCCATGGTCATATTTATTTCTAGAACTGAACGATTGTGTTACTATTAAAAAAAAAAAGTTTCAGAAAAATATATACAACCTTTTAAATGTAATGCTTCTAAAAGGTATTTGTTTAATTTTATGGTATAACATTTTATTTACTTAACAGAGTGTTATGTACTTGAGATGTGTTTTAATTTAACAATTTGGAGTTAAATATATACTATAGAATTGTAAAATACTGTGAAACAGTAACTCATAAATAATTGTGATATTAATGAAGTGAAGTTGGGTTTTTAATTTCAAGAGACAACACTTTCGTTATGGAACCTTTGTCTTTCTCTTGCATTGACACTGCTACTTGGCAATATTGTTCTATGACATATAGGACAAGTCTTTCTTTCACACAACCATTTCCTAAGACAATAAGAATGATAAAAGTGATTGCAACGCGTTATGCATGTAATATGTTTACTTATATCATTTAAGCAAATAGCACATACACCATCCTCTTTTTTAGAAGCAATGGGCAAGGCATTGACACTATGAAAAATTAAACGCCTTTCCTGCCAGGCATGCCAACCAGAAAAAAGTTGGCTCCAAATATTATAGTAAAAATGAATGAAAATAAAGAACAATCTCAACATACTGCCAGATTCCATAAGTTTATTGATACCAGTTAAGAGAAGTAATACTGAAAGCACAAGAGTAATTATGTCTTTTGCACTTTCAAGATAGTAAATGTAGTCATAAATCTCGTACCACATTGTATAGCGATAAGAGTGAATCAAATTTAAAAAATATATCATTGCACTAATTAGAAGATTTATCAATATTTCAGCTACAAAAACAGTTAAAGGAAATGACCAAGTTTCAAATGCATTTGTTCTTTGTAGAAATAACAAGTATGAGACACAAACAAATAAAAGTACAAAAAGAGCAATCAAAACCCTACAATGTCTTTGTGGTGTACTTCCTGTCGCGCTTAATAATATCAATTGCTTATTAATTTGTACATTAAATCTGCTTAGTACAGAAATAAGCATAACCCAGCTAATTTTAGATACCATATTTAAACGACTACTCGGTGGGAGATTCATAACACTAAATTTGATGCCCAATAAAACTAACAGTTGTGAAAACATAGCTGAAACACTAATTTGTTCTTCTTTAGGTATGATAAGAAATTCTTGTAAAAAGTTGTAAACCTTTTCAACAAATAAAGAAAGAACGGTTGCTGTGCCAGAAATTGCAACAACGTTTTCAAAACTAATTATAACAATGTGAGACATAATAAATTTTGCACGAACTAATGAAAAAATATTTTCATAATGCTCATTTAAAACATCATCATACATGTAATATATAAATATTTTAATGAGACGGATAGTAGTAAATAACTGCAAAACTTGAGTTACTTTGTAATAAGTCCAAAAATACCCAAATAAATTTAAATTGTGGTGAATGTTAAAGGACAAATGAAAGGGAAACAGGTTTTCGTGAAGAAAAATCAGCAAGTTTGGAAGGCATTTCAGTAAATGAACAACTAAAATAATGCAGGTTACCACAGAAACTAAGATGGGTGTAACAAAAGAAAAAGAAGGCAATGCAGCATTTATTAAGGTGGGGAAAATAAATAAAACAGCAATTAAAAATTTTTTATGAGTAAAGTAAGAAAGATTCACAGTAGAGAAACAAAATACTAATGCTAAGAATGTTTGAGATACATAATTGTAAAAAAATACTTGGACAGCATTTTGATTAATATTGAAAAGCTCTTGCTGCAAGGTGGAATGTTGAGCTAAAAGATCAGAACAAAATTTTATAAATTCGATGTTCAATATGTAAGACCATAAAATGACTCCAAGAGAAGCAGCTGATAAGTAAAATGACATCAGATGATGAGTTTCTTGAACAAACAGTATTGCAGCAACCAAGAAACCTAGAAATAAACTTAAAATGAAGTAACAAGTTTGAGATGTGCACTTTTAAAAAACACATTAATACCAATGGGAATTATGATAAGAAGATTTTATCATGCATTTCAAACTTACAATATACTGTTTTTAAGTACTCATTTCAGGGTGGTTATGTTTAAAACATAGAATAAGAAATTTATTTTAACAATATTGCTACGCCCATTTCTGTCAGACTCCAAATGTTAGGAAAGAAATGTCTAAGTTTGATCATATCTATTTATATTGTTATAGTTTATCTTTCGTAGAATAACGAATTTAAAACAACTTTGTTTTTTACTTTTAATAACAGTAAAAAGTAAAGCACCCTGCAATAGTCAGTTGACGCCAAAGGGGTTCTTGGAAATTTAAACCCTACAATTATAAGACCAACAGTATGACAGCAGATATATGATTGGCATTATGCACTGGCTGCTTTTACTTTTTTTTTTATTTGTTCTAAATTATTATAAATAACAGCACTTAGCAAGCATTAGCTGATATATGCTCTAACTTACACTTTTAGGCCGGGATAGCCTGGTCGGTAGGGCGCTGGGCCCATGTCCAAGAGTTTGTGAGTTCGATCCCCGTCGGCCGAAGACTAAATGGTGACTAATGCTGTGGTAAATGGTGACTGATGCTCGTTAAATCTGTCAAGTGGCTAAGTCGTCCCTGTTCCCATTACAAATCAATATCTCTGGGGGTACTGATCCAGGAGTTTCCTTGTCTTCTAGATTGATTCAAAATTACAAGGCAATGGAGTTGAACATTAGTAGTCGTAAACCCACAAATTTGGGTCGGCTGTTCAACGACGGATATATATATATAACTTACATTTTTGTCATTAATTGAATTTTTTTTCAAAAGTAGACTTTTACCCCTTTAAAACAGTCATTTTTGTTTAAATATTTACTCACTGATATACTAACATTTAAAAAATAAAATAGCAAATTTGTATTTAAGAGGTAGATTTGTATTTGTAAGAATATTCATCGATTCAGGATTCATCTTTTTTTTATTAAATTTTTTTTGACAATATGAAGAAGAAGAAAAATTAATTTTAGGGGCATTTTAACTTTTTGAAATCACAAAAAAAAAAACTTTGATTTGTTTTTTAGTCAATTTTGATTTCACCAAATTTAAGTTTAGTGTAAAAAATATTATTGAAAGAAATGTGGTGTGGGGTTAAACTAAAACATCTTGAAATGTTACTCCTTTTTGTCACCATGACATTTTAGCGTAGATGGAAGAGTTGGTCTACAATTGATGTGATGTATTATTCTCCTTTCCTTTCGTGGTTCTTTATTGTACAAGATTTTCATCGTCTTTAAGAGGTAAAGAGAGAAAGCTGGTAAAGTTATTTTTCTTTAAATGTGATCTTTTAATTTCTTAGTAGAAATGCATTAAGATATTAAAAAGAGGGATAAGACATAAAATATTTTTATTTAATCACCAACAACAGTTCAAAGTGAGCCTCTTTATGAAATTGTTATGTTGATATAACATTGGTTAATATCTTCTAGTTTGGTAGCATTTTTACTAAGTGGTTGATATGATTACCTTTCATGTTCAGGTTCTCTCCTTCTAAGAGTCATTCAAATATTACCAAAGCATGCTTTTTGGAATTTTCTACCCCTTTATCAGCAAAAATAAGTAAATCACACACTTCTTCCCATGATTACATAAGAATTTCCCTTTTTGTTTTTTATTTCAACTTATACAGTTGTAATCCAATTCAATTTACGAAGTTGTCCTGATATCCCTAATAAAAAGTGTTTTGTTCTTATTTGTCTTGATTTTTAGCTTTTTTCCTGATTCTCGGTTGTGTTCAGAACATCCCATTTTACAAGAATACAAATCAAGAATTTTAAAAAATGGATTTTAAGAAGATCTAATATCTTTTTATTTTGATATATAATGCTAGTCATCATCATAGTTGGCCAGACAGCCCAAAGCCTTCCTATATAATCCTAATAGAAATCACAAAATTTGATAGCTCCAATTTAGAGACTGCCAACTAATTCAACCCTACCCATACGTTTCATTGCTTGAACCTCATTCTATGAAAAATGAAACTCAAGATATTGTCAAATTTTTATGATGATGAATTCAGGGATCATAACCTGATTTATTATTTTAAGCAAGTGTTACAATAAATTCTCTAGGGTGGACTTGTAGTTTCATAATTATCGATTGGTCTCTATATATGGTTTTAAAAATGATTATACTTGTTTTAGGTCCCGCAGTGGACTGATCGTTAAGACACGGTTCCCAGCAGATCACTGAAGTCAAGCATCACTGGCTGCGGGTGGGTGACCACTTGGATCAGTCTGCGTAGGGACCGAGGGTGTGCGGTATTGGTCCTCGTTAAAGTGTGCTACCGTAAAGTGCTCGACTTAACGCGCAGGTCGTCGGGCTACCGAAGCGGGGCTGCCATCCCCTCAGCAGAGGATCAAAATTGTGATGGCATGTCTTCGGATCATCCTCCTGGATGTTTCCCAGACAGTCGCCAATAGCCCATTGTGCAGCTCTAGTGCGACGTAAATTAACAACAACACTTGTTTTAGTTTGCCAGATTGCTAAAGTAGTCTGATATATGTATATTGTTCCAAAAATATTCCTGATTTTTTTCAAATAATTATCCTGATATTTGATTGGCCCACTAAATTAAAAGATGTAACTCTACATAAAGCAAAATTTACGTTATAATTCATTTTATAAAATTTTAGTCGGTTCCTATTAGGACAAAAGGTTAATATTCACTAGAAACCTTTCGTGTTTTCTTTCTGAGACAGAAACTTTTGACCTCTAGAACTCATCAGAAAAAAATATTTCTAACTTTTTCCTCCCCTAATTTAACTTTTACTTAAAATGTAAAATTTTTGCAACTATTAAAAAAAATTTAAAAAATCGAAAAAGAGGAAATTATGTTAGCAATTTCATCATTTAGGAATGTTATTTGCAGCTTTAAAAGCATACAAGTCAGTTTTTATAAAATGGAGCCGTACTTATAATATTAGTAAAAATCAGTATTGTTATTTAACATTACTCCAATTTTGAGGAACTTTCATTAGTGAATACCTAGTTTATTTCATTAAAAATAATTTTGAGAGAAATGTGTACCACTAAAACACACCTAATTACAGTTATAATAAAAATCATTTTTATGATGCTGGAGATAATTCTTATTTATATTTTTTAATAATGTATCAAAAATTTACCAACCCTTTATTAAATATGCAGATTAAATACATCAAGTTTATTAATAATATTAGATATTTGTCAAAATAAAAACATTACAGGGAAGGAATTTTTAAACATAAATAATGTTTAAAAGATCACAAAAATGTAATTGACATTGTTAGGTTATTGATTTAACAGTTTAATCCACGGCTAAAATAAGTGGTCAATTTTGTTTTTTACAGTTAACTATTACGAAAACTTAGTCTTAGTGCGAACTAAACATAGTCTTAGTATCGCACTATTGACTACAATATTGTTTTCAAAAATTTGTACATTGTGACTACTGTAGTTTCGTTACTTGTAGGTTAATTTACTGGTTAAGAATGTTACAATTTTGACTATAATTACGAAATTAGAAGGTTTTCAAGGAATTAGTATGTCTGCATTTATTTGTATTAATAAGCCACTGAATATTAAAACTTTGGAAAAGTAGTAAAAGAAAAAAGACAGAGATTAAAAATTACCAAAGGCTTGCAGAAAGAAAGAAGCAAGAGTTTCAAAGGAAAATAGAGAGAGATGATTTATCCAAGTATTTGATTTTATAGTAATAGGTAATTGAATTATTTCATTAATAACAGTTTTAAATATAAACCAGCCATCAAAAGAAATACAATTTTTTGAATTGCATATTGTATCCATCAAAAAAACAGATGGAACGCGTAATAACAGATGCAGAAAAGCTTTAAATTTGTGATGCACCAAAATATTTTCCATCATGCAATAAGAAAGAATTGATTGACATATAAATGAAGTTTCTTTAGTAATAATTTATGTGATTTTATTGGGTTTCCAAATTAATGATGAGTAACTTATTGATTTAATTACAGTAACAATTTTTATAACTAGTTCTAGGGAAATTGTTCAATTATTAAATTTTGAATCACCCTTATTAAATGTTACTTTTGTACATATATAATTGAGAAAACGATGGTCTGAGCAAAACGCAATAAAAAATTAAACATATATTTACTATGACGTCACACTTGATTATTTATACGATCGCTTTTAACACGCTCGTAATCTCAGACTCTAAAAACGAAAGTTAATAATTATCACATATCAAGCATAAAATTGAATCTGATATAATTAAATTATACAATTAATTGTGTGTAATTTAAAGCATCGTCTCCAAAACTAATTAACAGAAATACTACTGAAGTTCATTTTAGAAACTTTAGTGAAGAAGAAGGTCCATTAGTTATATTAACATCAACTTTAACTTGGACCGTGTAGTACAAAATAAAACTGTTTCTGTTTACAAAATTCCTCTATGACAGAATTAAAAGCAAAGATATCTAAAATAAGTTTCTTGATTTATTATTTATTGTGTTATTGATTTTAAGTTGATCGACATAAATACGTTGTTTATACGCTAAGATATTTAAGAAGCTGTGCTGAAAAGGCTTTAAATAAAATGATTAACTGGAGTAAATGTCCAAAAGTTGATTTGTAAAGAAAAGCCTTGTTATAAATTGCACGAAGAAAAAATTAGTCTCAAATGAGGAAATTTTCATCAATAATATAAATTGGAATCATACTGTGTAATTAAAAAAATTTAATGATTCCTGCCCTCTAGTATAAGTAAAAAAATTATTACCTCATTTTGAAAAAAAAAAAAATCATACATTTTGTCTTGAAAGTTCACGGATAAAATCTACTTTCTGTTCTATTCTTGTAAGTAAAGTGAATTTATCCATACTGAGCATATATTAAAACATTCTTAGTTAACTATAATACCACTTATCATTTTAGACAGTGTTACTTGCAGAAAATCTTACTTAATTATCTATTTTTATGATTATTAAATTATTTTAATCTTAAATTTATCTTTGTGCCTGCTTCAAACTTTGCTATTGTGATCAGTAAAAAATTGTTAATCATGATGATAAATTCTAATAACATGTATTGCTTAAATTTTTTGTTTACACTGAATTGAAGCTGCATGTGGACGAACAAAAAAAAAAAAATATGTGCATCGTAAGATTGGCTTTTCCTTCCATGATTCTTAATATTGATTATGTATGATTATATCCAGCATTTATGTCTAATGCATCTTAATAATAATAACTGAATCAGGTTCAGTCGAAAGAATTACTTGAGATTGTGTGCTGTTTTAATGATGTCTTTTGAATATGAATAACAATTTAAATATTTCTGTAGCTTTTGATATTCTACAGAAAGAAGCTCTTGTAAAGTTGGATAGGTCTTCTGATCAAGCATTACTAGCTCAGATAAACATCACATGTTAGAGTTATATAATAAGAGTTAGAGTTATATCTAAAGGTGATACGATGAATTTTTCAACAAAGAGTGACCTACCTGATGAGAAGACTTATTCTTGTAGTGTATGTAATCAGAGTTTTTCCAAGAAGCACCATCTAACTGTTCACAGAAGTGTTCATAATGGTTCTTATTCTTGTACTGTGTGTAATGTGAGGTTTTCAAAAGAGCGTACTCTTGCCAACCACCATCGTATTCATACGGGTGAGAAACCTTTTTCTTGTAGCGTGTGTAGTAAGAGCTTTTCTCAGAAAAAGTATCTAGTCAAACACTTTCATATTCACAGTAGTGAGAAACCTTATTCTTGTACTTTATGTGATAAAAGTTTTTCACAAAAGAGTGCTCTAACTAAACATAACAATGTTCACAATACTGAGAAATCTTATTCTTGTTGCATATGTAATAAAAGTTTTTTACATAGAAGTAATCTCATTGAACACAGTCGTGTTCATACTGGAGAAAAACCTTATTCCTGTAGTGTCTGCAATAAGAATTTTTCCCTTAAAAGTAGTCTAACTAAACACAGTTATGTTCATACTGGTGAAAAGCCTTATTCTTGTAGTGTATGCAATAAGAGTTTTTCTCTGAAGAGTAATCTTAATAAGCACAATCTTGTTCATACTGGTGACAAACCTTATTCTTGTAGCATATGTAATAAGAGTTTTTCACACATTGGAAATCTAACTGCACATAGCCGTGTTCACACTGGGGAAAAACCTTATTCTTGTAGTATATGTAACAAGAGATTTTCATTCCTTGGAAATCTAACTTCACATAACTGGACTCATTCTGGTGAAAAACCTTATTCTTGTAATGTATGTAATCAGAGTTTTTCTGCTAAAAAAATCTTAACTGATCATGTTCGTGTTCATACTGGTGAAAAACCTTATTCTTGTAGTGTATGTAATAAGAGTTTTGCACAGAGGAGTACTCTAACGAAACACAGCTACATTCATAATGGTGAAAAACCTTATTCTTGTAGTATATGTAATAAGAGTTTTTTACAGAAAAGTGATTTGACTAAACACAGCTATGTTCATGAGAAGCCATATTCTTGTAGTACAGTCAACCCTGCTTAAAGGAATACCATCAATTCCAGCCATTCTAAGAAGTGGGTTATTCAATTGATCAATCTTAAGTTTTACTTTGATGTATATTCTTTTGTATATTCTTTTGAAGAAATACTCATGTAATGATCAATAAGCTATTATAATTAGAGTTAATAGTGTTAGTATTATAAAGTAACATTTAATTTATAAAAATAAATTAATCATGGTGTATTGCTAAATAACGATGTTGCTGTAAATAATGTTGAAATAGGACATTTACAGACAAGCAGGTTGACATTCTTTGCTAAAATAACATTTAAATGTCAAGTATTTATTTACATGTTAAATGGTGTTGTAATATGTAAAAACATATTTAAGAAACAAAATTTGATATTTTTCAATTGTTTATTGGAAACATTAATTATTAGTCAAAAAAGGTTTCTATGAAATAATTTTGAATGGTTTAGTTGTTTTTAATTTGTAGCTTATAATATTATTTGACCTTTTGTTTCACATAAACAAAATAGGAATCAATTCAAACAACAACAACAAAAAAAGAAAACTTTTTTTGCTACTTTTTGGCAATGATTTGACTTTTGATTTTGGCAATAAAAAAATTAGCATTTTTAGCTAAAACTTGCGACAAAAAAAAAAATTTTTTTTTATATTCAGAAACCAAAAAGCCTAACTCAAAACCTTACAACAAACTTAGAAAATAATCAATCTTGTAATTTATGGTTACAGTAGCTGATGACGTTCGAAGTGAATAAACATAGTATCTATTTCATTTTATTTTATAACCGTCGTTGAACAACCGACCCAAATTTCTTTGGATTTATGACTACGAATGTTTAACTCCGTAGCCTTGTAATTTTAAACCCAATCCAGAAGACAAGTGAACTCCTGGATCAAGAAATCGCCTTTGTGGAGGACTCTTTGATGGAACATTTTGCGTTACATGGAGAGGAAGACCACGAGAACCTCCCACGGTTTGCCTGATGGCAAGGGGTCTCTAACCCATGATCTGTCTACCATTGAGTATATTTTACGTCAGCACTGTTATCGGTGCAAGCCGGATGCAGAATTCGTATCGGCCAGCTATCGCTGGGATTCGAGCACAGTTCACCTCATTGGAATGCAAAGGCTCTATCCTCTGAGCCACCATGGCTCGGTAACATCTGTTATAATCATTTCTTGTAAAAATTCAGCTGTAATATGGTTACAATTTCTTAAATGAATTAAAATCAGACCTTTAATTTGTACCAATACCCTTTCTTCAAAAGATTCTTGTTTTAATTTTCTTTAAAAATCTAACGATTATTTGTAGTTCTGTGTGCGAAAAAAGGGAACACCCTGTTAAACTTTTGATCTAATGATCTGATTTTTCAGTATTAAGACTTAATTTTAATTATTCTAAATGCATAAAAATCTAATCAGAATATTTCTAATCTAGAATCTAATACATAATATTATTCAAAATATTTCTTCCACTGTACAACAATACTAGGTAGGTTGGTTATAGTTTGTTTTAAAAATTTAACTTTATGCATAAATGCATTTCATATACGAATATGATATGTAATGGCTATATGACTAATGTCACTCTATTATGAATTATATTACATTGCTTGGGTGCTGTTAGTGTGGGGAGAAAGTGAAAATATGTTCCCTTAAATAATCAGTATTTGAGACAAATAAAGAGAAGTTTCATTGTATTAATCATCTATATAAATTCATCTGAAAATAAGTAACGCATAAAAATAATTCATCTTTTTAAAGATCTTTAGCAGATTAACAATTACTATTATTATTTTATCATGTGTGTATTTTAAAGAATAATAGTGACTATGCATTTTAATTTTGTCCATTCCTTCGATAACCCTGTTTCATTGTGAATTTTTCAGTTTTTTCCAATTCTTGTGTAAAATATCACTTCTGTTTGTAATTAGTGTACTTGTGTAGGATGAAGTCTGTTTGTTAAACTATCCTCTAGTATAATTCTGTCGTCTTACTCAATTTTGCTCATGCAATATTATAAAATTTGTCCATGAATTTAGAACAAAATTTTTTGTTGCTTGCTTAATAAAAAATGTTGTGTGCGGTGAAAATATTGTCTAGAATTTTATTGACTGTTAAACAATATCGAAAGGAATATTTCGAAAGGAATAATGTCGTAAGAAACCGAAAATAAGAACATTTTAAATTCTAATTATAGAACAGTCGCAGTCGAGATTTATTATATTGAATAAGTCACGTTATAGTCCCTATTAACATTAGTAGAAAATGTTTAGTTGATGCTGTACGTTTGAAGTGTAGGACTGTAGTCAAGGGAGGGGAGATATGGACTATTTTTCCCGGGGTCAAGGACTGCTGTGGACCGAGAAAAATATTTGTACAAAAAATTTAGTGTTTTTTGAAAGAAAATTACTGAGTTTTTTTTTTCTACATAAGAACTACAGTTTTGAATAAAGGATCTTTAAAAATTTGCCAAAATATAAAAATAAAACTTTAAATGCTCAGCCCTCAATGTTCTGGGACCCATATAACTTGTGTTCAGCCTTGTTCAGCGAACTCAAACACGTTGAAAAAAATTATTATGCTAATTTTATTGTGTTGCATTTAGTTTTTTGTTTTAGAGTATATCACAGTTTATATAGTTTTTTGAGTATATCACAGTTAAGACTTTTCAAATAATCTTTTTTATTTCTCATGGCAGATTACAAAGACAACTTTAGACAAAACAAGAAAAAAGCAATAACAAAACTGCAGTGAATAAAAGAAAATCAGCCTACACAGTATAATTTATATTTAGCCTCCCAAAGAGCTCGAGTACATGTGTCTTCAGCTAATTCATTTCCCAAACCATTGTGCTGGTAAATAAAGTACAGTTACCATTCCCACATCTATGTCTATAAAGTTGCGAATTGGGTTTGAAAAAATGTTTATCCGATGCAGATATTTTAATAGACTGAAGCAAGACGAAAGGCAGATTATTTGAAATAATCTTCAATCAAATAAATGAGTTTTTCTTTACCATCGTGTCGCCAACTACAACATTATTAAAAAATTATTCTGCTCGAATTTTAATGTGGTTTTAGAATTAGGAATGCTACACTTATTTCTGAAAGCAGCAGGCTTTAATTTTATTCCAAATTGGTGTTTCATAAGCAGTGGCGTAGTTTTGGGGACAAAACCCCTCGGAAATTACATATTACATCATTAAGGAGCTATTGTACGGTAAATAGGTTGCAGTTTTCAAGAAAAAAAAAATTTCATTTATGATTTTTTGTAATGGAGAGAAAAAATTGGAGAAAAAATAAGTTATTTATATATACATAAAACTTATTTTGTCGACTTTCACCGGTGAATGTCCGAAATATTTGTTATATCCGATTTTATATTAATTTATTCGTTGATATTATTATATTTATTCAATATTTTAATATCTGCTGAGGATAGATTAGGAGAAACATCGGTGTTAGGAGTACCGGTTAAATGCATGATGGGCATTGGCACTGGACCTTAAAAAAACATTGATGTAGGGTATACCGGGCAGTGTCACTTAACTAGATATTTCGCACATTTACCAAAGCGACTATGTGATTGTCAACATTCACCGGTTTAAGTCAACAACCACCAAATTTGGATCATTCATAGCAACATACATACATAATATACGAAGGACATAAACCCCGTCCAAACATACATTAAAACTATGCCACTGTTCATAAGTATAAAATACAAGGCAATAATAGGCCGGGATAGCATGGTTGACAGAGCACTGAACTCGTGAGAACGGGAGTTTAAATCCAGCCGTCAAAAGACCTCGTACAGTGACTGGTGCACACTAAATCTGTTGGGTCACTAAGACCTCCATGTTCCCATAAAAAATTATACATCTGAGGGTACTGAATTGGAGATTAATTATTCTCTGTTTCAGGTCAAAATTACGAACTGTGGATGTAAGAATGGATCCGCCGAATTCTTTGCCATAGATGGCGCCACTGGAAAAACAAGAACAATCGCACCTATTGCCTTAATGGCCTACGACAACAACATGAACAAATAATATCAGTGCATTGCAATCCACTTAATAGTATTTATAATGATAAAATTAGACACCTAAAATTTAACTGTCCCGCAGTGGACTGATCGATAAGACACGGTTCCCAGCAGATCACCGAAGTCAAGCATCACTGACTGCGGTCAGTGTGTGGGTGGGTGACCACTTGGATCAGTCTGCGTAGGGACCGAGGGTGTGCGGTATTGGTCCTCGTTAAACTGTGCTACCGTAAAGTGCTCGACTTCGCGCGCAGGTCGTCGGGCTACCGAAGCGGGGGTGCCATCCCCTCCGCAGAGGATCAAAATTGTGATGGCATGTCTTCGGATCATCCTCCGGGATGTTTCCCAGACCGTCGCCAATAGCCCATTGTGCAGCTCTAGTGCGACGTAAATTAGCAACAACAATAAAATTTAACTGCAATTCAGTCACAGAGTTTTATTTTTATAAAGTTACGAGAGTGTAATAAAATTAAATTTCATTAAAAACGTTTAAAAATCATAAATGGTAAAATTTTTATTAACACCTGTACGCTTTTCGGTAATTTATATTCAATTTGCACGTACTATAACAAATCTAGTTTTTAAAATATGCAAGCTTCAACTATTAATATATATACTTATATAAATATTTATTGGACGGTGACTAATCCTATTTTATTAGATAAATAGTAAATAGTCAGATTTGAAAAATTTTGTAAATACTAAAACTTTACAGTTGTGTTTTTGTTAATGATATTTTGTAATTTTAGGTTGATATTGATGATCGTTAATTTCTGTTTTAAGCCAACCTATAAGGGCTCTGAATTTGAAAAGGGGAAAAGTTAACCAGATTCACTTACTTTTGCTCAATAATAAATGATAATAAAAATAATATTTAAGTAGTTAATTCGAGAATATAAATTAAGAAAACGAAAGCTTAATATAAAGAGGAAATAATATACCAATACTTATTCTAGAACTAACTCACTACTAAATAAATGATAAATAGTAATAGTAGCCTAGAACGCCCGGAGACTGAGTGGTTGAGTGCCACAGGTCCTGAGTACGTTCCTCGGACCTGGCACGGTTGACTCAGCCTTTCATCCCTTCAGTGGGTCGATAAAATGAGTATGGGGACTAAACACTAAGGTATTTCGCTCTCGGCTGACGGCCCAATCGGAACATCTGCTCCTGAACCTCAGGTCTAGAAAACTGAGATTGGCCCTTTATGGGCAATTTACTTTAGTTTAGAAAATAGTAGCCAATTATATTGTGATAGTAACCTAGGTTACTATCACAATATAATAGGTGCTATTATATAGCTATGGTAGTGAAACCTAGACTTTTACACGTTGCCACAGTGGAAAATTATTGATAATTAAATTTATCATTTAAATAGAAAGAAAAAAAATTTCGATTTATGAAAATGAAACGCTTAACATAACCTGGCAAATTAATAAAAAATTAACGAAAATATTTGGCAGAGAAAAGTCTTGGAATGTAGTGAATTCAAGACCCAAAAAGAAAGGGTTTTAAACGTTAACAAAAAATCTAACCACAATGAAAATAACTAGGTGGAAAACTATATCTATAAGAACAGGAATGTTAGAAACAACATTGTTCAGTAAAAGCCCATTGTGGGCTGTAGCGCTTTTAAAGAAAATAGATGTCTAAATATTTACATATATTTAAATACGAGCAGTTTGTTAGCAAAAATATTAATGATTTACATCTTTTATGTTCAAACAAAATAATAAGTTAAATGAAAAGGGAAATAGTACAGATTTATTTATTTATTTATTTTATTCTCAAGATAGTTTGCTATGACGGTCGTTGCGCAATCAATCTTCCAATCAAAAGCGAAAGAAATTAATTCAATGATTTTTTAGAAAATTATAAACTACTGTTTACTGTTACACATTCTC